TAGATTGCAAAACTTTTCTCCCATTCTGTAAGTTGCCTGTTCACTCTGATGGTAGTTTCTTTTCCTGTGCAGAAGCTCTTTAGTGTAATTAGATCGCATTTGTCAATTGTGGCTTTTGTTGCCATTGCTTTTGGTGTTTTAGACATGAAGTCCTTGCCCATGCCTATGTCCTGAATGGTATTACCTAGGTTTTCTTCTAGGGTTTTTATGGTTTTAGGTCTAACATTTAAGTCTCTAATGCATCTTGAATTAATTTTCGTATAAGGAGTAAGGAAAGGATCCAGTTTCAGCTTTCTACTTATGGCTAGCCAATTTTCCCAGCACCATTTATTAAATAGGGAATCCTTTCCCCATTTCTTGTTTTTGTCAGGTTTGTCAAAGATCAGATGGCTGTAGATGTGTGGTACTAATTCTGAGGGCTCTGTTCTGTTCCATTGGTCTATATCTCTGTTTTGGTACCAGTATCATGCTGTTTTGGTTACTGTAACCTTGTAGTATAGTTTGAAGTCAGGTAGTGTGATGCCTCCAGCTTTGTTCTTTTGACTTAGGATTGTCTTGGCAATGCAGGGTCTTTTTTGGTTCCATATGAACTTTAAAGCAGTTTTTTTTCCAATTCTGTGAAGAAAGTCATGGGTAGCTTGATGGGGATGGCATTGAATCTATAAATAACCTTGGGCAGTATGGCCATTTTCACGATATTGATTCTTCCTATCCATGAGCATGGTATGTTCTTCCATTTGTTTGTGTCCTCTTTTATTTCACTGAGCAGTGGTTTGTAGTTCTCCTTGAAGAGGTCCTTTACATCCCTTGTAAGTTGGATTCCTAGGTATTTTATTCTGTTTGAAGCTATTGTGAATGGGAGTTCATTCATGATTTGGCTCTCTGTCTGTTACTGGTGTATAAGAATGCTTGAGGCAAGCCAACATTCAAACTCTTTGACATTTCTAAATGTCAGTTAGAATAACAATCCCATTCTCTCTGCCTAATTCAAGAGGCTTGGGATTCAAGTGCACTTCTTAGAAGAACAGTTTTTTTTTTCATCTAGGATATTTCATATAATGGCCATTGTAATTCTGAATTATCTGTAGTAAGACTCTGCCACTTTTGTAAATCTTTGCAACTCTGTGGGCATAATTTTTATCCTTGAGAAAGTCAGGTGTACCAGAAGGCAGAGTACTGACATCTTTAGAAATTAGGGATCTTATTTTTATGTTGGATCTTGGATGTTAGAGCCAAGATGGCTTTGGCACTGAAATCTCAGCACACAAGAAAAGAAGAAGTAAAGAGCCCCGCTGCAGTAATAACCAGTTAGTGCAGCTGATGGCAGTTACCTTAAAAACTGCAGCTTTTTTTTTTTGCCAGTGACTGTTCAGTCACTGCAAACAAAAGGTTGTGTGCCCTGCCATAGCACAGACTACCCATTGGTACCCCAAAAGCCAAAGAGATCAGAGTACTCAAATACAAAAGAGAGCGGAGCCCAGACCTAAGAGGAACTTACACATGATTCTCAGGGCTCCAGGAAGAAGACAGGGGACCCACCCCCAACCACTTAAAGGGGAGGTTAGCAGCATCTTTCCTGTGTTCCTCAAGGAGTCTCAGAGACATCAGTAACCTTCTTCATTCAGTCATACAGTCCCTTCACTGGTCACTGTATCTGTCAGAAGACAAAATTACAACAAATTTAGTTTAAAGATCTGAATTGGCTTTATGTGTAGTTCTAGAGTCATGCAATGCTTCATTCCACTAAGTAGATAAGTGTCCCAATGAGTCGAGCAAAGAGGTTTGTTTTATAGACAGAAAAAGGCCTTAAGAAAGCAGAAGCAAAGAACAAAAAGTGGATCAGTCATTTTAAAGTTACTTTCCTTATATGGTGGGAGCTGGGAGGCAAGATAATAGAAAAATAACAGTTTGGTTAACATTAGGTTGTTTTCAGGTTAAGGATTAAAACAGGAAATTTCACTGTCATGCCAGTTGAAGCTCCTGTTCGGGAAGTTGGATATTTTCTCTCTTTCCTGATTTTATAAAGTCAGATAACAACTTAGTTTTGATTTGGTGATGTGGAATTTTAGCAAGGGTGACTCCATTTAGATTTTTAATCTGGTTTGTCGGGCTTAGTCCAAAACAATGGCCTCCTATGATTTTTATGTAACAGCCCTCTAGATTCTTTATTCTGCCCTCTAAGTCATGCTTTATTTTTAATGAAACTACTCATGTTTGCAGCTGAGTAGTTTTGTCAGCCTGCTTCCTGCCAATAGAATTTGGGGGCACCAGCATCGTCCTTTGATTTTGTATTCTCTCTGTCCCTTTGATTCCACGTTGGCAGTGTTTTTGCTGAAATGAATTTTTCGAAAACTTTGTTAGTATTCTGTGGATTTTATGGAGATTCACTTCATTATAAGAAAGGCATATCCACAGATCTTTTAAAAATAATCCCTTTTGCATCTTTGGCTCATGCTCAAATGGCTGAGGGATGATGCTTTTAAATTCCTAGAGGCCCTCTGATTTGATCGACAAGATCTGTGAGGCACACCCTTCATAACTTGAAAGGGACCTTTGCCTGACTGTATAATACCAGCTTTTGATCTTTCTGAGATTTTAGCAAAAGGATATACAGTCACACTCCCAACTTTTTCTATAGAGCCTGCTTTCTTGACAGTGAATTTCTTAATTTTAGTGTCTTTTCTATTTGGAGAAGCTGAAAATTTTTAAAATCATGTCCCCTTTCATTTTTGTATAAGTTCTCTCAATTTCTTTCTCTTTCTCCTCTTGCATTTTACTGTAAGTGGTAAGAAACTAGGTGGTGCTTTCAAACCATTGCTTGGAAATAACGTTAACCGTTTATCTAAGGCCATTGCTTACAAGTTTATCTTGTCACATAACTATGGGATACAATTTCCCTAAGTTTTCTGCCACCATCACAAGGGTCTCCATCACTCCAATTTCCAGTAACATATTCCTCATTTCCTTCTGAGCCCTCATCAGTGGTGTCCTTAAGGTCCAGGGGTCAGTTGAGAACTGGTTCAAGGCATTTTAGCCCTTCTCTATGATGCTGCCCAGTCTCCTTCCACTACCCAGTTCCCAAGCCTCTTCCACATTTTAGATATTTGTTACAGCAGCATCCCCTTTCCTAGTACCAACCTTTGTATGGTAGTGTAACAAATTACCACACATTTAGTGGCTTAACACAACAAACATTTGCTCAGTTTCTAGGGGTCAGGAATATGGGCACAACTTAACTGAATCCTCTGCTCTTGATCTTACAGTGCCAAATTCACAGTATTAACTGGGTTGCATTTTCATCTAAAGACTTGAGTTTGGGGAATGATTTGCTTCCAAGCTCATTCACGTTGTTGGCAGAGTTCATTTCTTTGCAGCTGCATGAGTAACCACCCTAGCATCTTATTGTGTTCTTATGGCTGTAGCCCCCCTGAAGTCCCATATTTCCCTGCCACATGATCCTCTTACAGCCATCTCACAACTTGACTGCTTATATCTTTAAGGCCCATGGGAGAATCTCTCACGAGTTGCATCCATTGTAACATAAGCATGGGAGTGACATCCTATCACCTTTGCCAAATCGTATTAATCAGAAGCAGGTCACAGGTTCTATCTACACCCAAGTAAAGGGGGCCTTAGGGTGTGTATCCCAAGATAGTCTAGGAGGTTAAATACTATCTCCTAAAGATATCAGGTCATAATCCCTGGAATGTGTAAATGTTACTTTATTTGGAAAGCAGACGCTTTGCAGATGTGATTAAGATAGGGATCTTGAGATATAAGGATTATCCTGCATTTTTGAGGGATAGGGGAGTGGACGCGAAATGCAGTCACATGTATTCTTATAAGAATGGGGTAGAGGGAGATTATACACATGTAGAGAAGGCCATGTGATGATGGGGCAGAGAGAGATTTGCAGATGCTGGCCCTGATTAAAGATTGGTGTGATGCACCTGTAGTCAAGCAATGCTGGCAGCCACCAGAAGCTAGGGGAGGCAAGGAACAGCTTCTCCCCTAGAGCTTTCACAGGGAGTATAGCCCCGCTGACACCTTGATTTTGCCCCAGTGATACTGATTTTGTTCTTTTGGCCTCCAGAACTGGAAGACAATACTTTCTGTTGTTTTAAGTCACTTAGTATATGGTAATTTGTTACAACAACCTCAGAAAATTAATACAGATAAGTAGTAAACGAGACCTGAGTGGTGCTTTTTAAATGTATTTCTCTGGTTATTCAGTGAAGCTAAGTATCTTTTCGTAAGGTTATTAACTATTCTGCAACATTTCAAACTCATATCTTTCATCTCTTTTTCTTTTGGACCTATCTATTGATTAGTAGGGATTCTTTACATAGTAAAACTACTAATGTTTGTCAGTTATACATGTTACTTCAGAAATGTACCTGTAAACTATCTTTTTACCTTGTTTGTGGGGTATTCTGCATTCAGATATATTTTCAACTCTTTTTATTGTGAAAAAATTTAAGTACATTCAAAAGAAGAGAGAATAGTGTAATAGACCTTCCATGCTCTTGTCACTTAGTTCAACAATTATCATTATTTTTCCCCAGAAGGATTCATTTCTACCTTTAAGGTTTGTACTTTTTGTGCATTATCTAAGAAATCCTTAAATAAAGACTGTGTTCCTATTATTTGTGTGGCTATTTCTGTTGTGAAAACCCTCATTCTTTTTTTACTTTTATATAAATATTATGTATAATAATTTTTAATATATTCAAAGCACCACTGGCCTCAGTATTCATCTCTATCGTCTTCCTGAACAGCCTATGTTTTTCTTATTCAGCCCAAGCTATTGATTCAGAACTTGGGAACTCTCCAATTGCTCCAACAATGTCATGCATGTTACCATAGAGCTTGTTGAAAATCCCATACATCCCTATAAGAAGGCTAATTATTCAGGAGATTTCAAAATACGAGTCTGAGTCAGCTAGCAGACATTGTTGTGTTTACTAAGTAATTCCTCTCTTTCCCTTTCTTGTTTCTAGTGTGCCACCTGGGCTTGAAGGCATGAAGGAACAGGACCTGTGCAACAAGATAATGGCTACAATTCTAGAAAATTATAATACCCTGTTTGAAGTAGAGTATACAGAAAATGATCAACCGAGATGCGAAAACCTGGCTAGGCTTATCATAGTAAAAGTAAGCAACTTGGTTTTTAATTTTCAGTATTGCTGTAATTTTAGACAGAAGATTTTATTTAATTCTTTCTCATAAAAATTCCGTATGAATATAACCCTCAGATTATTATTCCTATGTGTAGTGAGTTCTTCTTATGAAATCTATTATTTCAAATGTTTATTATATTGAAATATAGCCTTATAAGATTCAAGAATAATAGCAATTTTATGTTTTCTTGTTGCTGTAAGGTCGTCTCAAAAATACCTGCATGAGCCCAGTGCTCTGGTTAACTGGCCACACCACCCTTACTGCAGAAGCCTGATGTTACAGCAGGAGTAAGTGCATATGGCTGTGATCAGGAGTGCTAGCTTACTAACTAGATGGCAAATTCCTGAAGACAGTATTACTGTGTCTTTTTGTCTCCTTTGTGTCCGGCACAGTTTGAAGCTCAATCTCAGATTTTAAGTCCCATATATTAGTTTTTGGTAGCAATCATCAGTAAAGGAGAGTATTTTGAAAACCTATAAAGGAGTCCTTGACAATACTATCTAAGTCTTTTTATACATTGGTAATTTTATAATATACCCTGTATATATTAGGTAAATGCCTGTAGGTCTCCAAAGACCTAGAATTGAGAATCAGTGGGTAAACATCCAAACAAATCCTCCAGATATGGGAAAATAAGGAAGCCATCTTATTTCGTCCTCATTTATATTGAGGTAAATGATGATGGAGCTGGTATGAGATATCCTCAGGAGGTTTCTTGAAGATTATCAGGTTTACAGACCATAACATACTCTTTGCTGATTCATATAGCAATGAATGATAAAATCAGAGACACTTGGTTTGGGCACTTAAAGGAATGTTTTCATCTCTTCTCCCAGTTGAGGCTATGACTTTGAAGAAAGGTTAAAATGGTATGAGTATCAAGTAGCATCCTACGAAAGGATCTAAAACTAGATTTTCTAGTTTGCGCAGTTAAAATGATAAAATGAGATAATTGGAGACTATCAGTTGTAAATCTGAGTTAGAAGTAAAACAGTAGCTGAAAAAAATGTCAGCGATTCACAAGAGAAAATAAGAAAACAACATTACTTCAGTCTTGCCTCAGAAAAGTTAAAATAAATAATTTTTTAAATAGAAAAAAACCCCCTCAAGTTTGTTCCTCTGGTGCCTGTAGTACTTTGAAAAGGATCTCTTTTTAAAATGTTAAAAGGTAATGAACTTTGTTTCAGCAGCGTCTCTCAATCACATATACCCCATAAATATGTACGACTACTAAAGGACCCATAATGATAATTAAAAATAAAAAAAATTAAAAATCTCTTATAAACAATTTTTAACACTCATACCTTTTTACTAGGGCAGATAAAACAATAAGGTGAACCTGAAGTATAATGGAAATAGATAAATATAATCTTAGGCAGGGCGAACTTGCTGAGATAAAACTAATTGCTGGAATATGCCATTGGGAAGTTGATATGGTTTGGATGTTTGTCCCCTCCAAATCTCATGGTGAAATGTAGCCCCTGGTGTTGGAACTGGGGCCTGGTGGGAGGTGTCTGGACCACGAGGGCGGATCCTTCATGAATGGCTTAGTGCCATCCCCTTGGTGACGAGTGAGTTCTTGCTGTGAGTTCACACGAGACCTGCTTGTTTAAAAGTGTGTGGCACTTCTGCCCCTCACTCTTGCTCCCACTCTCGCCATGTGACGTGCCTGCTCCCCTTTGTCTTCTGCTGTGATTGTGCGCTTCCTGAGGCCTCACCAGAGGCAGATATTCTGTACCTGCTGAACCGTGAGTCAGTTAAACCTCTTTTTAAAATAAATGACCCAGCCTTAAGTATTTCTTTATAGCAACACAATCAGACTAACACAGGTGTTATTTGCTGTGCAAGTAAAATAACACCTGTTGAGATCTGTGGAAGAGTGCCCTGCTTGGAAATCCTTGAGTGACTAGGTTTAAGGCTGGTGGAGAACATGGTATGAGACTATAATATAAGATATAATTCTGTGGGAACCAAATACAGACGTCTTCAGTAGATGAAGAAGAATATAAAATGCTGCTCTTTTAATGTAAGTTTCAGATCTGGCCTAGAGGCAGATAAATGTCATGATTAGAAACTACGTTTGTAGTCTCTGGAAGTGTCATTCTGCCAAAGCAGAATTTTGATGTATTTTTTTTAACTGATCTTGCTGATAGTCTCTTCTTTGAGAAAGTAGAGAATGTGACAAGGGCTGTGATTCTCTGGACTTAATCATAACAAGTAAGGATGAAATATAAGTTATAGTAGTCATTTTAAAAGGATATGCCAATGCCATTTTAAAGTACATAGTAATAAAATGAGAATATGTTAGCCACATTTCGATATGTAAATGTTGACAATGCTTCAAAAACAGACTTTTTTGAAAATTATAAAGATCATAGAAACATTAGATAGAAACTAAAAGGTAGATGGGTTTAAAAGAAATTGAGACTCTCAGAATGAAATCATTAATATACTGAAAAAGAAAAAAAATGAGAAGGTAATTAAAGAAAAGTGTCTTTCTGTTCATTTTTTCACATGAGTTCAGTTTTTGGAAAGATGAATATAAAGATAGGAAATAGGCACAAAGTAAATGATAAATACCCAAGAGTGATAGGGACATAAAATATATGAGTTGAGAATAAGGCAAGTCTCATGAAAACGACTTAGATATAGGGCTTTTAAGTGGGGAAAAGGACTAAACATAAACACTGAGATACCTTGTATATCCCAGTTTGGAGAACAGAGTCATAAAATGTTGAATGAAGTTTCTTATATATTCTTGCATGCATGCTAAATGGAGATTTGGGCCCAGAGAAATATATTTGGTTGTATTTGGACCTAGATGAAGAACTTTGACCAGAGTATTGGAATATGGAGTCTTTTTCTGTCGTAGGCTGTCAAAGCCTAATGTCTGTTTCTGTTCAGCTGATTATGGTCAGTAGCTGCAAAATTGATCATGGCATCTATAGCACATTCATCAGCCTCACTTTGAGACAGACTTCCTCTGTCTGAAGGCCAAGGTAATGATAACGGGAAAAGTTTTATCATTATGACTTCCCGTTCAACTTTGCTTTCCCTGCCATTCTTTGGGAGTGAATCTAGGTCTCTAGAGTTTTTCCAGATTCTGCAATGGTTTGACCATGTTGACCAGATCTAGTTACCCCAGTGAAGGAAATTTTGGATAGACCTCTTAGCACTGTGACATTTGGAGAAATATGATAATGTATATGTTGACCCTTGGCATTTTAGCCCCCATTTTGTTGAATTTGGCAAATAGTCTTCACAGTCAGTGGTCCACAGTTATGGCCATCTCTTACTTCACTTAAGATGGAGGTTTCTTTTCTCTCATTCATTATTTTTGTTTTTATAGGTTTCAAGAAGGGAATTTACATAGAAACACTTTTATTTTGTCAGAATGAAAGGTCAAGGCTGTATTTCTGAATAACTGGGTTAGGAGAAGCACATCTTTCCAGTAGGCATCTAACAGCCACAGTCTAATTTCTCCAGCTGCAGGATAATTCTAGATTTTCTCTTCAGAAGGTGTTCTAAATCTAGACATTAGTGAAGCCCCATTCAAGAATTAACTTAATCATCCAGATATTTACATACACAAAATTTGGTGAGAAAAGTATGGATAAAATAATGGACCATGAACTATTAAGTTGAATTCATTAAATCCAAGTATTAGTAATTATTCAGTGCCTAATAGGAGTAATTGTTCTAAGTACAGTGAACAATAGATGAAAATCTCTGCCCTTATGATTCTTATATTCTAATGGAAATACAATAAACAACAGCCAATAAAAAAAGAAAAGAAAATATGTAGTATGTCAGATGGTGATATATTCTGTGAAGTAAAATAAAGCAGGGCAAGGCAGAAGTAGAGGAGTGGCATTTGCTTGTTTAAATAGAACAGTTAAAATGCTTCACTGACAGGAAGACATTTGAGTAGAGACTTGAAGGAAGTGAGGCAGCAAGCCATGAAAACACTTGAGAGAAGAGTATTCCAGGCAAGGAGAAGAGCAGTACAAAGGCCTTGAGATGTGAATATACCTGGTCTGATGAGCAGCTGAGAGGCCAGTACAGTTGGATTGCCATGAGCAAGATGGAATTGAAAGGAAATGAGGCCACAAAGGAAACAAAGGATCAGCAGATTGTGTCTATTGATAGATCATTTTGAGGACTTTGACTTTTACTCTAAGTGAAGCTGTTAGTCAGTATTAAGCAGAAGAGTGCTATGTTGTGACTTCTGTATTAAAAAGATTACTAGGCTCTTGAGAGGGATAGACAGAAGTAGGGCAATCTATTAGGAATTTATTACAATAGTCCAGGTAAAAACAATGGTAAATTGGGCATGGATGATGGTAATGAAAGTGATGAGACGATCGGAAGGTAAGCTAGGATGTGCAACAGCAATACAATAGGAGTTATTAGAGACTGTAGTTAGGCAGGCTAAAGAATGTTTGAGGCAGAAGTAGATGAGCAAGTAAGCTAGAAGAGTAGGGGCTGAAAACAGGAAATAGGAGGTTTGCATTACTGATTTTGGAGGTTGAGCTATCTGGAGTGAAAATAAGGCTTAAGTTGTGTTTATGAGCATGAGGGACTAAAGTGAAGGAGAAGAGAAAATTATGGGAAAGGCGATGATAAAAAGATGGGAGATAAAGATATTGATGGTTTGTCCTTATTGACCCTGAATTTACCCAGAAGGTTGGCAGATATTGAGGGGTTCAGGAGTCTATGAGCCTGGTTTGTCTGGTTGTCCCGTTTGTGTATAAGTATTATGAATATATGTAATAGGGTTCATGCAAACCTCATATATATGCATACTATAAAATAATGTGATTAGCATATTGCTAAATATCTATCTAGAAATATCTAGATGAATATGAACCTATTCCAGATAAACATGTTATAGGACTTTATTAGATAGTGTTGCTATTGCTCATTATATCTTTTGGGATTTTAAAGTTGTCTTCAGAGCATATATATGTCAC